AGCAGCAGCAGCAGCAGCAGCAGCAGCAGCAGCAGCAGCAGCAGCAGCAGCAGCAGCAGCAGCAGCAGCAGCAGCAGGAGGATGGGGGGCATGTCTCTGGCAAAGTGAAGATTCTGCTTCCCAGGAGAGGCCCCTCAGCAGCAGCAGCAGGAAATGCAGCAGCAGCAGCAGCGGACAATGCAGCAGCGGATGCAGCAGCAGCAGCAGCAGCAGAAAATGCAGCAGCAGATGCAGCAGCAGCAGCAGCAGCAGCAGCAGCAGTGCAGGTCTTATCGCTGGACCAGGCATATTGGGGTGTACGCACAGGGGACTTGCTGCTGCTGCAGTTCAGCAGCAAAGACAGCAGCAGCAAAGACAGCAGCAGCAAAGACAGCAGCAGCAAAGACAGCAGCAGCAAAGACAGCAGCAGCAAATATAAACCCCTTCTTATCATATCACAAACTTGGGGGCCCCCCAAAGCCACAGGGGCCCCCGAGGGGGCCCCCCAAGGGGGCCCCCAGGGGGCCCCCCGGGGGGCCCCCCAGGGGGCCCCCGGGGGGCCCCCAAGTGGTACGGGGGCCCCTGGGGGCCCCCTAGAGGGTACTAATAGATCCCCTGGGGGGCCCCCCGAAGCGAGGGTTCAGTACCCTTTGGGGGCCCCCGGGGGGCCCCCAAAGGGTACTGGGGGGGGGCCCCCTGGGTACACTTTGGGGGTTTGCAGCGAAGGCAGCTTTTGCTGCAGCAGCAGCAGCAACGGAGTTGCTGCTGCTGCTGCTGGAGGGTTTATGTTTGTTTTGGGGGGGCTGAAAGCCTTCATCTACTTTGTCGCTAAAAGGAGGTTTAGGGTTTAGGGTTTAGGGTTTAGGGTTTAGGGTTTGACCCAAACCCGAACCCTGAAGCCAAACGCCTGTTTGAGAAAACCCCTGGGGTTTGAAAGCTAGGGTTTAAGACTTTGGCCAAGCATCTAGGGTTTAGGGTTTAGGGTTTAGGGTTTAGGGTTCGGATCACATAATAGCACAGCGCTCTTCGTCGCTTTCCTCGGAGCTGCTTTCCTGCAGACAAACCCTAAACCCTAAAACCCTAAACCCTAAACCCTAAACCCTAGCGAAGCCCTGGGAACCCTAAACCCTAGAAGCCCTAGACCCTGACAAAATCCAAGCAGCAGGGCGAACGCGCAGACAGCAGCAAACCCTCAACCCCGGATACCGAGGGTTTAGGGTTTAGGGTTTAGGGTTTAGGGTTTACTTCGTGGTAGTCGAGCTCCCAAAGCATTCCATTCGCGAGGATCAGCTGTGCCATGTCAATGAACATCTGAATGCAAACCCTAAACCCTAAACCCTAGCCCTGAGGAGTAAACCCTAAACCCTAGCCCTGAGCAGTAAACCCTAAACCCTAGCTCTGAGAAGTAAACCCTAAACCCTAGCCCGAACTCTAAACCCTCGCTCTTTATATGGCTCTTTTCGCAGACAAAGCTGCGGTTGATGAACGCCCGCAAAAAAGGGTTTAGGGTTTCTCGAGGGTTTAGGGTTTAGGGTTTCTCGAGGGTTTAGGGTTTAGGGTTTCTCGAGGGTTTAGGGTTTAGGGTTTAGGGTCTGCTGACCTTCTTTATATTCTTCCCTGTACAGGCTGAGACATGCCACAGGCGGCAAAACATTTGCTGCCTGAAAGCAGCAGCAGCAGCAGCAGCAGCAGCAGCAGCAGCAGCAGCTAGTCTCCGTGCAACTCTGCAGCAGCCCTGGGGAGCTGCTGCTGCTGCTGCTCGACTCTGGAGAACACTGCGAAGGTTTAGGGTTTAGGGTTTAGGGTTTAGGGTTTAGGGTCTACACGAACGCGTAGAGCTCAGCTCGGCCAAGCAGCCGCGTGGGCACATCGCCTTGAGGATCCACGTCTGCAGCAGCAGCAGCAGCAGCAGCAGCAGCAGCAGCAGTAGCAGCAGCAGCAGTAGTAGTAGTAGTAGCAGCAGCAGCAGCAGTTGCAGGAGTAGTAGTAGCAGCAGCAGCAGCAGCGGCAGCTGCACTGGCAGCAGCAGCAGCAGTAGCAGCAGCAGCAACAGCAGCAGTTGCAGCGGCAGTAGTGGCAGCAGCAGAAGCAGCAGCAGTAGCGGCAGCAGCAGCAGCAGCAGCAGCAGCAGCAGCAGCAAACCGCTGGGCCTTCTGCTGCTGCTGGGAAGGAAAGCCCGCTAAACCCTAGACCATCCTGTTGCTGCAAACCCTAAACCCTTGAGGGTTTAGAAGAAAGCCAATCGTTCGCTCAAGTCTCAAACCCTAAACCCTAAACCCTAAACCCTACCTGTTTTATTAGCCACGAGAAAGACAACTGGGGAGATCATCGGCTGCACACACAAAGCGCCTAAACCCTAAACCCTAAACCCTAAACCCTAGCCAGCTCTCGTGAGCTTGAAACCTACGCTCCCCGACCCCACAAACCCTAAATCCCAAACCCTTAACCCCAAACCCTAAACCCTAAACCCCAAACCCTAAACCCTAAATCCCAACACTAAACCCTAAATCCCAAACCCTAAACCCTAAACCCTAAACCCTAAACCCCAATCCTAAAACCTAAACCCTAAACCCTAAACCCCAAACCCCAAACCCCAAACCCTAAACCCTAAACCCTAAACCCTAAACCCTAAACCCTAAACCCTAAACCCTAAACCCTAAACCCTAAACCCTAAACCCTAAACCCTCACATTTCGGTATTCTGCGAAGTCTCTGACGAGGTCGAGAAGCTCCGAAGCGACGGTGAAGCTGTTGGGGTCATTTACGTCAAACACAATTAAGAATCCCATTCGCCCTAAATAAATAAATAAATAAATAAATAAATAAATAAATAATTAAATAAATAAATAAATAAATAAATAAATAAAATAATTAATTAATTAATTATAATAAATTAATCAGCGAAATGGCAAAAGGCAAGCGATTCCATCGAGCTGCGGGCAGCAGCAGCAGCAGCAGCAGCAGCAGCAGCAGCAGCAGTAGCAGCAGCAGTGGCAGCAACAGCAGCAGCAATAGTGCCAGCAGCAGCGCTGCCAGGAACATTAAAACCAGCAGCAGCAACAGCAGCAGCAGCAGCAGCAGCGACTGGGGCAGCAGCGACTGCAGCAACAGCAGCAGCAACTGCAGCAGCTACAAAAACTGCACCAGCAGCAACTGCAGCAACAGCAGCATCTGTAGCAACTGCAGCAGCAACTGCAGCAGCAGCAGCAGCAGCAGCAACTGCAGCAACTGCAGCAGCAACTGCAGCAGCAGCAGCAGCAGCAGCAGCAGCAGCAGCAGCAGCAACTGCAGCAGCAGCAGCAGCAGCAGCAGCTCACCATGGGCAATGGACCTGTATCTGTCGTTTTCCGTTTGAGGGTTTATTGGAGGCCTCCAAAGCGAAAAGGGAGTGAAGTCCCGCACGTGCCGCGGAAGGGCCACTTCGCGCAAACCCTAAACCCTAAACCCTAAACCCTAAACCCTAAACCCTAAACCCTAAACCCTAAA